GTAAGTTTTTGGTTGACTGTAAGTTTTTGGTTGAACTCAAAAAACATTTGAACAAGGGGAGTGGTGAGGACAGTAGAGAAGCCGGGCTTGTGATTGGAAGGTAGCGTGTTCAACTCCAGGTTGTGCTCCATGTTTCATGTGTGTTCACGTGTGGTGGGTTAAATGCAGAGATTTTAAAGAGACCTATTATGCAAAATTCACTTTTTAAAGGTTTTTTTTACTCAATTTTGGGTATGTACTTCTTAAGAAAACAGTCCTAGGACCAAAAAAAATGCACCCAGGGGCATATTTACTGTAAGTAAATGTATTTTTAATGTATATTAATGACAAATTTTATACTTTCTACATTTTGTGATGTCACAAGCCGTACGACAACCCACCAGAACCTGCGTTCAGCCCCTTACCTAGCAACCCCCAGGTGAGGCTCCACCTCCAGCATAAAAAGCCCTCACGGTGTTGTGCAATGTGTACCTCATTTCACAACAAGCCTTGCAATAGGGCAATGGGTAGTGTGTTGGATCAGTGAGAGGAAGACCAGGGTTTGAGGCTGACATGGACACATACAATTTAATTATTTATTTTCGTTCGTTATGAACACGTTTTCTCATGTACCTCTATTGTTTAGCTTATTAAAGCCTTGTTAAAGCCTATTTGTTCGAGTTTCTGAGGTATTTTGACCGCTGCTGCTCCAATTACCTACCCTGATAACAGCATGCAGAGTGAGCGCAGAACTCTGACACAGGAGGGGTAGAAAAAAAAAGCTGCGACTACGACTCTGCCTCTGGGTCTCATATATATGGTTGTACAACGGAGCTTCTGCTATTATTAGCCATGCTAACGTAAACGCTGGCTTTGGAGGGCGGAGTTAATGTCAACAGATTTTTGGAGGGCGTTACCAACAGAGCTCATTAACATAAACAGCTCTTCTGAATGGAAGTCAGAGCAGGCAGAACTAGAAAATGGGAAATTTTATTATCTGATAATTATTTTGTGCATTTTGTTGTCCCTGGACAACACCCCACCTTCCACCCCACTACGCTCTTACATATTCGCCACTTAGATCCCGTGGTAAGATGTTTATCATATACTGTATTGATCCTGGTGGGGGGGTCTCTGTATTGAACCCATCACAATGCGAACACACATGAAACATGGAGCGCAGCCTGGAGTTGGCTACCTTCCGATCACAAACTCGGCTTTTCTACTGTCTGCGCCACTCCCCTAGTTAGTGATTTTTGAGTTCAAATCTTTTTTGAGTTCAACCAAAAACTTAGACAGTCAACCAAAAACTTAAAGTGTCAACCAAAAGTTTGAGATTCAACCAAAAGTTTCTGTTTTGCAAAAAACGTTTTGATTGATTTTTTTTTTTTTGGATTGAAATACCTTTTTTTGTTTGGTTGAAAACACTTTTTTTGGTTGAAGTTTTCTTTTTAAATTGAAACTGCTTTTTAGTTTGGTTGAAATAATTTTT